GTGGCTGGGAGTGGCCACTGCACTCCAGCCTGGGTGACAGAGTGAGATTCCAACCAAAAAAAAGCTGGGCTCGGTGGCTCAGCCTGTAATCCCAGCACTTTGGGAGGCTGAGGTGAGTGGATTGCCTGAGCCCGCGGGTTTGAGACCCACCTGGGCAACTTGGCAAGACCTCATCTCTACAATAAGTCAAAAAATTAGCTGGGCATGGTAGTGTGCGCCTGTAGTTAGCTACTTGGAAGGCTGAGGCGGAAGGATTGCCGGAGCCCAGTAGGTCGAGGCTGCGGTGGCCGGGAGCGACCACTGCACTCCAGTCTGGGCGACAGTGAGACTCCAACTCAAAAAAAAAAAAAAAGTTAGCTAAGCACGGTCATGCGCACCCGTAGTCCCAGCTACTTGGGAGGTCGAGGCTGTGGTAAACCATGAGCCTGCCACTGCACTCCAGCCTGGGTGACAGAAACTATATATATATATATATATATATATATATATATATATATATATATATATATATATATATTTATTTATTTATTATATTATACTATATATAGTATATATATAGTTATTATATATACTATATATGTAGTTATATATACTATATATATAGTATATATATAGTTATTATATTATACTATATATATATACACACACGCACATACATATATATACACTTCATCACCTTGTTTTGTCTATCTTCCTCATTTTTTTCCTGATTATCTTCAAGCAAATCTCAGACACAAAATTTCACCCACAAATGTTGCAGTATATCTCTTTATCAGACAGGGATCTTATTTTAGTGTGACTACAATAGCACTGCCACATCTAGGAACCCCTTCACATTGACCCATTGATAGTAATATCACCACCCATTTGATGACCTGTCTCAAGAGTGGCCGAGCCCAAGCCACACAATTCATTTGGTTCATTGGTATCTTGAGTTTCCTTATAACAGTCCCCTCCCTCTAGAATTTGGTAGAATTTTTAGTGTTCTGGAATTAGCTGATTGTAAGTCTGTGATATGCTGATCTCTGTGATGTGTGTATGACTATGGATTTAAGCATATAGAGAAGCAGCGAGAACAGTTCAGCACATCCCACTGCCCAGCTGCCACATTACTGACTCACAGCCAGGTGTCCTCTCTCCCCCACCACTTTCCCCTTCTGTTCTGTTGCTACTGCTGCGTGAAGACCTACCCCAAACCTTATCAGCTTCAAAAGACGATTTTATTTTTTCATGATTTTATGGGTCAAGAGTGTGGTTTTCCAGGCAGTTGTGATCATCAGAAGATTTGTCAGGATTGGATGCCCATGCTCAGGGCTGGTCATGATACTGGCTGCCCCCAGTGAGTCTTGCCCATGCTGGGAGAACTCAAGGCCAAGGCCTGGGATCACCTAATGGCTTGCTCACTCACAAGGCTGGCACCTAGAATGGAAGGGCTTAGGGACCAGCATTGCTAACTGCAGCCCCCTCGTGGGTTCCCCAGCTTCAGAGTTGGGCAACAGTAGATGCAGTTTTGAGAATATTTCCATCACTCAAAAAGCCCCCTTGTGCCCAACTGTGGCCAGTCCCCATTCCCACCCATAGCCCCAGCAGCTGCTAATCTGCTTCTCTATAGAAACTTGCCTTTTCTGGATTATACCATGTAAAGGGAATCATGTGAGTGGTCTCTATATCCGGCTCTTTTCACTCAGGACTGTTCTAAGGGTTCCTACACAGCCTGTATTAGTAGCTTAATCCTTGTTACTGCTGAGCATGTTCCACTGTATGGAGGAAGCACAGTCTTCAACTTCTTTCTAGAAGCTCCATCTCCACTCTTGCTCTGACCTGCTGTTCTCTGTTCATATCCATCTTCCTCTCCCCACGGCCTCAGATGACACTGCAGGGTATTTCCAACAGGTATTTCCCTGCCCACCCCTTCCCTTGCTGGCAGAGGCCTGGCCCCATCTGGGCCTCATGGCTCCCTCCAGCCCATCCTAGAGAGGCTGGGCAGGGGAGCCTACCTAGGAAAGTTCTCCTTGCTAATATAAAGCCAGGAAAACGCCTCTTGGAATAAGTGCGATCCTGTTGTGTGTGATACCTGGAACTGTAGCTATCAGGGACTGTGGGGGAAAATGTCCCTGACACTGAAGATAGCAAGGAAGAAACACACAAAGTCCTTGATGTCACTGTCATGTGCCCTGCCTCTGATCCTTCCTGTACTTGTGAGATAATAACCCTCGGTGTTAAAACTGTGCTTGGTTGGCTTTTCTGGAACATTCAGCTAAGAGTATCCTGACAAACAGGTAGCATTTTCTAAACCTCTACTCTAGGTCTTCTGCCCTCGAGTGAGGGCTTCCTACCTTGGGACTCAAGTCCAGGCCTCTCTCCCATGCCCAACACCCACAGCGCCTTCTGCTCCCAGCCCTGGACAATCCCATAAGTGTCTCGGGCTGAACTGGAGAGGCCCTCCTCTGCCCTGCCAGGCCAGCGTTCCTCCTGCCATTCTTTCTTGTCTGGTCTGTTGATGGTTCATCCTCATGGTCACTGAAATACATCCTCCTGGTACGTGTCCACCACATCTCACCAGACAGCACCTGCTGGATCCTTCTGGAATTCCTATTGCCATTGTCTCATTGGTTCTCGCTGGATTATGGCCATGGGCCTGGGATAGGCCTCCTCCCTTGGGTTCCTTGCTGGGACTACAGGTGTATACCACCATGCCTAGATGCACCTCCCTCGTTTTAAATATTTATAAATTCCATCTCCGCAGCCCTCGCAATAAAACGGATGACATTGGTCAGGTGTGGTGGCTCAAGCCTGTAATCCCAGCACTTTGGGAGGCTGAGGCAAGAGGACTGCCTGAGCCCAGGGATTCGAGACCAGCCTGGACAACTTGGTGAGACCTTGTCTCTACATACATCAAAAAATTAGCCGGGCGTGGTAGTGCATTCCTGTAGTTCTAGCTACTTGGAAGGCTGAGACAGAAGGATCACCTGAGCCCAGTGGGTTAAAGTTGGGGTGGCGGTGAGTGTGCCACTGCACTCCAGCCTGGGTTGCTTTTGGGACTCATCTTTCTCACACGCACTCCAGCCTAGGTTGCTTTTGGGACTCATCTTTCTCACACGCACTCTGGCCGATTAGGCTGTTACAAGGTGGGTAAATTGCCAAACTGTCTCACTCCTTCGTCCCACCTCCTTGGTCACCCTCCTCACCCCATGTCAGGTGGTGTGCTCCCACAGTTCTCCTTACAGCGACATTCCAGCCCCAGACAGCCTCCCCAGGTCTAGTCCAGTCTGTGGAATATTGAAGGCTTCACATCCTCAGTGATCCTGGGCACTGTCGGGTTAGAAGCATTCTGCATACCCACGCACTGCTGAGTCCCTCCCGACTATCTGCCATGCACCTATCACTCGGGAACTTACCTACACTTTTACTGAACTTCTATTTTCCACCGAGAATTCTGAATACTCACCTACTGTAAAAAGTTTCTAAACCCGCGCTCATCATTAGGGCATGCATGCGCCTGCTGCTTGAACACCATCAAGCAGGGCACTAGAATCAGGCTCCCGTCTGGCCCATCCCCAGACTCCCAGAAGCTACTGACCTCCCACCGCGGCGGGGTCTCCCACCTGCCGACAAAGCCGAGGGCGGCCGGCGAGTGCCGTCCGCAGACATCTCCGCCTCCCAGCCCGGCTGCCGGACTTCCTGGGGCTGCTTCTCCACCAGCTTGTCCTTCGATCTGGCCGCAGAGGGGGCGGGCCCCTTCCTTTGCTCCTCTCCTGAAACATGGGGCTACGCTCAGAGCCGCAGAGCCGCGCCAGGCGCCGAGGCAGGAGGGGTAGGCGGAAGCCTGTCCCTGCCCCTCGGACACTTCTGCTCGTAGGCGCCTGTCACGGTCGCCCGGAACGCTGAGAGCGGGAGCCCCGCCCATGTGGCCTGGAGAGGTTCCCCGGCCGGCGCGGCGGAGACTCGGGGTGGGCACCCCTTTACCTGTCTTGGGCTTGGACTTGCTTCTGGAGAGGCCCATGCGTGAGCCCGCCACCCGCCGGCGGGGTAGCAGGGACTCACAGAACGCCGCGCGCTCGTCATGGCAACGGGCCCCGCCCCGGCCCCGCCCACGGGACGTGTCTTTCTCTCGCGAGAACTGGCCGAACGGCCGGAAGCGGGCGATGACCCCGGAAGTCCCTGCCGGGCGGAGCTGGTCTCCTCGCTCGCCACCGCTTGGGCCTGACTCCCGGATTCGTGTCCACTCCGCCGGCTTGCGGGCTGCCGCGCCGCCAGACCCGCCATGGACGGTACGGGGCCACCGCCTCCGGGGACGCGCGCAGGCCGAGCCGCTTCTCTGCCGGCGTAGGCTCCGCCCCTTGGGGCCGCGGGACCTGAGACCCCGACCCGGGACCTGAGACCCCGACCCGGGACCCCAGCCCCAAATCCCGATCCTGGGCCTCGACCCCAGACCTCATTCCCGGACCTGAGACCCTTAACTCGGGCTGCGACCCCATCCCAGAAAGCGCCCACGGAGTGTCAGGCCCGCCTCACATCAGCTTTCTTAGCTGGACTGTGAACCCTCCTTCTAAGAGGGGGAGACGAGGGGCAGCCAAGGGGAAGCCAGGGCCAGGGGTGGAAGAGGTGGAGGGGCGGGTGGAAGGGGCCCCAGACGGAGGGAGGAAGCAAGGGTGGAGCAGCAGGGCCCGCAATCCTACCTTCTTGTCCTGGCCTCCCCTTCAGGCCCTGCCCAGCGCAGAGAAGCCAAAGGGCAGGAAGAACAGGTTGTGGAATGAAGGTGCCTCCATTTGTTGGAAGGCGGATGGGCTGGTGGGATACACAGGCTTTTAAAGTATTCTTTGAAGTGTAAGGGGCTACAGTGCGACCATCCCGTCGTTGTGAAGGAAATGCCCCAGAGAGAAGATGAAGATGGCACCTAACCTAAACCCTCAAAACGTGTTGGCTTTTGGGTCCATGGCTCACTCAGCTCTTTCTTTTTTTTTTTTTTTTTGAGTTGGAGTCTCACTCTGTCGCCCAGACTGGAGTGCAGCCTCACCTGCTGTGCTCCTGCGATCCTTCCGCCTCAGCCTTCCAAGTTGCTGGAACTACAGGCGTGCGCTACCACGCCCGGCTAATTTTTTGGTTTATTGTAGAGATGAAGTCTCGCTGCCCAGGAGGGTCTCGAACCTGCGAGCTCAGGCAATCCACTTACCTCAGCCTCCCAAAGGCATGGGATTACAGGCTGAGCCACCAAGCCCGGCTACTCAGCTCTTTCAAGGAGACTTTTCTTATGCCCATGTCTAAACCAGTGTCTGTTTTCTCCAGGGCTAGGTTTTGCTTTGATTGGCTGTGTGTTCTACAAACCATAGTCTGACCACAACATCCGGACTAGAAAGCTGAGGCTTGGGTGGGGGGGCCACGCCTGGGCTCACAGTGTTTGCCTGCCACCTGGGTAACGTGAGCTCTGTCTTCTGGAGTCACAGTGACTTGGTCTTGGCCAGCACCTGCACTATGAGGTGATAGGTTGATGAGCACAGTGAGCTCATTTGAACCTCAGCAGAGGCTGGGAGCTTGAATTGCATGTGTGAACTCAGGACCCTCCTGGACCAATGTGGTAAGCCCTTTCAGGATTCATGTGTAGGACTCCAGATCCAGAAGCTGAATGCATTGAGACAAATCCGAATGTACCTGGCTCTTGAGTTTTGGTGAAAGAGTGGCAAATCTGTTGGATGTCAGTGGATTTACTTAGTCATACACTTCAGTCTCTTCAGTCACTGGGAGTAGCTAGGAATGGCTTCCTGAACCCCGTCACCAACTGGTCTGGGAATGGCAGCTGCCGTGGAGTCAGCTCTCTGGTGGCATAGTGTTATCACTTTACTGTTTTTATTAATTTACCTTTGGGAAGGAAAAATATATGAAAAACAGACTGTCAAGTACTGAACTTCTTTAAATTGGGAAAGACTCTGGGGCCTTCTAGAAAGTCATGGCTAGAGCTGCATTTGTGACCTCGGCTGTCCCCATGCTCGCACTTTGAAGTTGGCTGGTGCCATCCCCATGTTCCTGGCGAGGAAGCAGGTTGAGGGAGGATCCATGTCTGCTGAGCCCTGGGATGGCAAGGGACCAGAGCTGGTGTACACGTCCACCTCTGAGTCCCTGCTGGGGAGCCACCTTGAAGGCCCCAGCAGATGTGACCCTCATCTGTCTTCTGTCCTAGCTCCTAGTGTCTAGAAGGATCTTGGTCTGTCTGCTTGTTAGAATTGCTACTTATATACTTCTTAAAATCCTGAAACCCTCTCCTTTCTCTTTGCAGATACCCTGTTCCAGTTGAAGGTATGTACTGAATGACCGTTTGCCTGGAGCTTGTCCTGGTGATTAGCAAATGAGGACAAATAGTATATGTAATTCTCACTCAGAGCCCTAGAAACAAAGTCAAGGGATAGATGATAACAGCTGAGCAACCACTACACAGTGCTCAGACTGCCAACTACATAGGGGATTATTGGCTTTATGGCATATTAGTTATTTGCTTGTCTGAGGCTAAGTGGGAGCAAATCACTTAGGCTCATCCATGGGAACTGAGTGTTATCTCTAAGAAACACAGCTTTCATATCATGTGCATGCCTTGATTTTCCGCTAGGAATTTAAAACTCAAAGGCGGCCTCAAATCCTTTAAGATCACATTGGAAGAAGAGCTTTCTGGACAGCTGAGTGTTCTCCCGTTGGGTGATGTCTGCAACTTCCAGCAGTCCAGGCCATTTCTGCACATCTCTCTAAAATGACTTGTAGCGAACCCTCCACGATTAGCCTCATCTTCCTCATTACCACTCTGAGGTGCCAGATAGGAGTGTTGTGTGCAAGCTACTGAGTGTAGCTGGGTACTCACATCACAGATGGCTCTGGAAGGTGTTGCTGGGAACAGAGTGACTGTTGGGAAGATGCCCACAAGTAGGCAGCATCTGTGGGAGGGACTGAGGCCTGCCTGAGTCTTGAGGCCCAAGGTGTGATGGTAGCTGGGCCCTTGTCTCTGGTTTGGACAGGGTTGCCAGTGAGCCTGTGGAGGTGGCAGCCATGCTGCCTTTGGTGTGGGTGGAGCAGCTTGGTGTATGGAATCCGGTGCTGCCCAGTAGCCTATTGTGTGCTGTGTTTTGTGACAATGACCATTCCAGGGGTGTTTCTGTCTGAGTCCTGCGTTGTATCTGGGGTTTTTTAGCCTTTTTCCTATGCGGTAACAGTCCATCCCCAAGCAGGATGGAGAGCAGCGTGAATTTTTTGTTTGTTTGTTTTTTTGAGTTGGAGTCTCACTCTGTCGCTCAGACTAGAGTGCAGTGGCCATTCCCAGCCACCGCAGCCTCGACCTGCTGGGCTCCGGCAATTCTTCTGCCTCAGCCTTCCG